AACATAGACTCGCCCCGCAAAAAAGTGAGAGCGGTGCGGGGAAAGCCTGCAGACACTATATATTTTAAGTCAAAAAATGCAAAACTTATGTAAATGTCTGAGCCTGCAAAAACCCGCGAAGAAAATGGGGTGGGGCGGGGCGAACACATTAGAAAGTGATTGCCTAAACCCTTGACCCTCCCAAGACTAAAATACAGTCAAAACGGACAATGCCTAACGGGCCGGATCCGTTTCGCCACCCCTATCCAAAGTAATCACTTTCACACTGATTAAGAATGTTAGTTAGATGTAATTATTTTTCTCGATTTCATGTAAAATCAAAGTAAAATTTATTATAATATCTTTAGTTATATTTGATGAGTCATATATCAAACATTAAATATTTTTGAATTAAATTAAAAAAAAAAAAAAAATTAATTAATTTAAAAGTTAATAATTTTTGCTTATAATAATAACCAAAATTTAATGTTATTATTATTATTATTTTTTATAATAGTTATGGGAGGGAAGATATAGTAAAAGTGGAAAAACTGTATAATGACACTGTGGTATACAAGAGCAGCTGCGAAAGGAGCTTTAGTGAGTGGACAATTGTGGCAGCCGTATGGTTTATTGAGGATGACGAGTAAGTGTATGAGCAGCAATTGTGATGAATTGGACGCCATTTTCAAACAGAAGCGAACTCTCCGTACTCAGGTCAGAAAAACTCTCAAGGCCATCGACCCCTCCCTCAGATCTCAACAAGGTACAATACAATCTAATTTAATCTTTGCTCGCTCTTTTTTTATTCCCACACAATCGCTTTTTTGTTCAGACAACGCTATTCAGGACTTAATTTTGGGAGCTCCGTGGTTCAAATCAAGTCTTAGGTTATGCGCATACATAAGTTGCAGTTCTTTACGGGAAGTCGATACTTTCAAACTCTTGTCACACATTTTGCAACCTCACCCCAATGGTATGTCATTTAAACAATTCATTCTCTTGTTATTTAATTACAATCATCAGGAAATCATCATTCACACACACCATATTGTAGAGAACAATTATGTCTAATAGAGTCTATGAATTTGATTTGTCAAGATGATATGACCAAATGCAGGTGGTAAAAAACTATATGTACCGCGTGTTGAAGATAAAAACAGTCACATGCGTATGCTTAACATATCGCATATTGGTGACCTTGTTGCAAACTCAATGGACATCTTAGAACCGGCTCCACTTGATGCTGTTGGAAATGCACGTGAAGATGGTACTTGTTTCTCTCTCTCTTTCATTCACTGCCAAACTCTCTTATCTTACTACTTGATAACTGTGGGAAACCTTTTCTATTTTTATTTCCTAAAGTTTGTCTTAGTCTTACTTGTTAACAAGGATAAAAATGATTCTTGAAGTCAACAATTGTCTTGCATTTCCAAAAACAATGACAATGTCAAAAGAGCTATTTTCATTATTTCTTTAAATGCATCATCCTTAACTAGTATTTTTAATTCTCTTCACCACAATGACTCACTTGTTAACATTCAAAACAACAACCAAACCTTATCCCACTAAATGGGGTCGGCTACATGGATCAACTTGCGTTATAATGTTCTATTCAGAACCATGTTTCTATCCAAATTGTTAATCTTGAGATCTTTCTTAATAACTTTTCTTATAGTCTTTCCTAGGTCTTCACCTCCCTCTAATTGTTTACTTCTCTATATCTGATCTACTCTACTTACAATATAATCTATAGGTCTTCTCTCTGCATACCCAAACCATCTAAGTTTATTTTCCACCATCTTCTCTACTATAGGTGCTACCCCAACACTCTCTAATGTTTTCACAAAGTAAGAGGACTCTTAGCTTTCAAAGATGTAGGAAACCTGCAAAAACAATGCTCAACCTCCAAATTTGAATCTTCTTCAAAATGCCATTATCAAGTCAGAGTGGCATCATGTGAATCTTGGATTTTTTAGGTTTAAGTGTCATTCGTCTGTTGTTCCTATGAACATCCAGATGTTTCAATACATGATCGGTTGGCCTACAACTCTACATCTTAAGACATGATCGGTTAGCCTACAACTCTACATCTTACATGACACAAGTTTACATATGATTTGCATTTCATAATCAGATAATCATGATCCCTAATCTAAAAGACGGGTTTTTTTTCCAGAAGAAGTAAGAAGATAAAGAAATAGTAGTCTCAAAATGATTTTAACTTGTATAAAGTTGCTTCCATTAAACCAGATACAAGTTATGTACACCCTTCTCCCTCTCTTGGCTACTTTTGTGCAGTTAATGTTGTTTTCTGATTCTTGTAGGGTTGACTTGCATCTAGTGTATTTTTATAATTATCCTGATTGGCCAATATCAACAACTGTCTGAAAGATCTCTTTGGTGCAGTTTTGCAGGCGAATGACCCAGTTGATATTTTGCTCTTACCTGGTAAGCTTCTCATTTCTTATTTGATTATCGTTTTCCAATCTTGCATATAGCTAATATTTTACTTCTCTTTAGGATTGGCATTTGACAGATCTGGAAGACGTTTAGGCCGTGGTGGAGGGTATGTTTTTTTTAATTTCTGCAATTCAGACCGTTGAAATCTGTCTCTTGTTATATGTAAAGTCTGAGTGAAACCTGTGCATTGCACGAGTTATGAATCATCAAAATTCAAAATTTGAATTTCAAATGTTTAAGAGGCAAAATGACAAAACTTGTTTTAACATGATCAAATACAAATCAAAGATTTATCAAGGTAAATTTTCATCATTAACCAAGGAATCTTTCTCTTTGGTGCTAAGCTTCTTTTACTTTCTCATTTACCCTCTTTTGCCTTACCATTTTGGTGTTTCATTTGTTCCTTTGCATGATGCATGTTAGATTAGTTGAGGACCAAGTTTGACAACCTTAATGGCCAAGAACACACTAATGGCGGCAAGATCCACGAAGTTATCAAATTGGGGAATAGAACAATCCCATAGATGAGGAGGGCCAACACATCATTGAAAGACTTTCATTCTTTGTTCTTTGCAAAGTCTTGTGCCTTTAGCTCTAGATATATTCTTGAAAATCCTTGAACATTCCCCTTTTTACCAACATTTTTTGCCATCTCTTTACATCTATAGGGACTTTCTTTAATTCAAAGAACAACCCAAAATCGGCTCAAATTCTTCCAAGGTTGGAGTTAATTGGAAATTTTGAAAAGTGAAGCATCTCAAAGGAGGATCATAGAATTGGGTTAAGGCGGTGATTGCCCCTAGTTGCACTTTTACGAACAAGTGGTCAATATTCCCATATTTAGCAACAAAAGCATCATGGTGGATCGTTGTTAATTTCGCGCTTAGATCCCTTAAACTCTTCAATTCGGGTAATTTGACCTCTAATGGAAGAGTCTTTTTTCTTTTTGATCCCATCTTCAACTTAATCTAGATACCCACAATACACTTTTAGTCCTTACAAGCAAGGTTGTCAAAATCGGGATCTTACATAAGATCGGGAGGGGATGATAAGATCGTAAAATATAAGATTGGAATTAAGATCGGAAGATCCTACTTAATTATTTTTGTAAGATTGAGAGGGGGTAACAAGATCGCAAAACACAAGATCATAACAAAAATCGTAAGATACTACTTAAACGGAAAATAATACTACATATTTTAAGTATTTCTACATATATTTTCGTAGGCAAGTGTATTCGGGGGGAAATCAACACCACCGAACCGAAATAGTTACACCTTTGTATTTTGTCATCCTTCTCAGCTTGTTATGGCGGTGGCCGGAAAATGGCCGATTGTGGCCGGAATTGGCCAATCGCACATAATCATTGGTTTTACCTTTTTTTCACAATTTGACTACAACACACTATTCTATTTAAGATCTAGATCGTTAGGGGTGAGTGAGATCGTAAAATCGTAAGATTCTAAGATTTAAATCGTGATTTTGATAACCATGCTTACAAGAGCTTAATAAAGAAAGTGGATAGGAAGGATATGTAGAAATTGCACTAGTTTTTATCCAAAACAACTTTTATAAAAAAAATCTCATTTTTTTAACTCATTTGTGCATAAAAAAGTATTTACACCATCAAGGTTAACACTTTTCTTATGAAGTTTCTTAGCATGAACTTTTCTTTAGTCATACATGAAGAGGAAAAATAATAAACTCATTTTATAATTGGAAAAGTAATAACTTCATCATATATCATATCATTTATCTCATCTCACTATATGCACATAAGCCACATAATCTCTTCATTGTGGCAAACGGTAGTGTATTCCCCCTGCTCTTTTTACGGGTTATCTACTAGGTCTTTTCGGTTATGGTTAACACTGAATCTATGAACACTTAACATGTAGGTTGCATTATCACTTCTCTGCTGCAAATGGTATCAATTTTAAAATACTATGGCAATTACTCTACCATATGAATTCTCTCTTCGTTGAAGCAAACAAAATTCTTCTCAAATTACTATGAGCACTTGGGTCATAGGCTGCATTATCTTTTCTTTGCTGCAAATGAATTTCCATCATAACACTCACACTGCCTCTCTTTTTCTTTTTTCTCTACGTCACCCAACGTCAAATGGAAGGCCCCCTATTCTCCTTTTTTCCCTTTTTTATTTTAATTGCGTCTGATAGAATGGTACCTAAGTCCAATTCAAGTGAAAGGAATGTGTTAGTGGGTGTGAACTTTGCTAAGCCCAAAGTTTGGAGAGTGCATGAGAGAAAGAAGAGAGTTATTAGAGTGCCAGCTCAATAAGGGGGTGCTCTCGTACTTGAGAGTATCCTTTTCTGTTTTTATAATTTCTGCAAATATGCTTTCCTCCAACCATTGTTATTCATTACTGCTCATTTCTAATTGCATACCTCTAGAGTTAATGAGATTTTCCTAATCATATCAATTTGTACATAAATAAAAAAGATATTACATATTTCCTAAATCAATTTCTTTAAATACTACGAGATTTCCAACCGTCTTCTAAATTTGTTATCAATACAATTCAGTCAGTTTCTGTTACTTCATGTGCTGGTACCTAACAATGTATTTCCTTCCCACCATTCCTTATTACAAATTTATAACCAAATTTTGATTTTTTTAGTTTCATTGAGTGACCAGAAACATCAGTTATTCAATGAACCTAATAAATCAAAGTTTGCTTATAATAAGAAAGAAACATGTGTTATTCGATGAACCTAAGAAATCAAAGTTGGCTTATAATAAGGAATGGAGTGAGTATTTAATTTAATTTAGTATGCAATACATGTGAAAAGAAAATTTTCTATAACTAAAACATGAAACAATAATATAAAAAAAGAAACACTTTCGCTTGATCTTGTAATCCATATACTGTTACCCTTTTAGTGCTTTTAATATCATGTATATTAATGTTGAACCAATTATTATTGATATTTTGTTGAGTTTAACGGACATGCACCGTCACTGAAAATAAATTTTACGCGGCCGTCCAATAAGAAACCACCAATCTGCTAAATCATCTAAATCATTTTAAAATATCAGTATGATTTAGCATAATGCACGTCGTTTATTGGATGACAAAGTACAATTATTTTACACCGTCAGTTAGGGGTGGGAATAGGTTAGGCCGAGCTAGGCTTTTCTAAGCCTGAGCCTAGTCTGCTAAAATTTACAAAGCTTAAGTCTGGTCTGTGGTCTATCATAGACTTATTTTTAAGTCTGAATCTTGCCTTTTCGAAGGCCTGTTTGATCTATTAGCCTACATAAAAGCCTATTTTATTTGAACATTTATAAATAAGAAATTCAACTAATGTTTAAATAGACTAACAAATTAAAATATAAATGAGACTAAATGCTTATTTGCATTTACGTATTCAAGTTTACCTATTAACATAAGTTTTGCGATACTATTTGTTTTAGAGAACTTATGAAAACAGCTAATGACATTGTTTATAAGCTTTTTTCAGTTTATATTCATAAGTTCTTCAAGATAACTAAGATTTATTTTTGTATTTTATTTCAAAGTACAAATAAAATGCAATAATAATAATAAATTTATTATAATTTAGTTAAATACGCCGGTCTGATAGGCTTAAAAGACTTTTTTTTATTCCATGTGGTCTAACCTTTTTAACTAAATAGGCTTGTAAAAAAGCCTGGGCCTTTTCTATTTAAAGAAAAGCCTGGCCTGTCCTGAGCCTGTGTAGGCTAGACCGTAGGCTCCTGTTAGTCGGCTTGGCCTATTCCCCACCCCTACCGTCAGAGCATCTGCTATTTTCTCTTTAGTTTTGATGCATCTTTTATTTTGATTTTAACCATCTTTTGTTTGGCTATGTTAAATGGGCTACATAGATGTTAAATGAACTATACAGTGATAGAAATTGGTACCAATAGAAGATATTACTGAATAGTAGTTGTTTATTATAGAATAACCTTTGGGAAAAGGTTCAGAATGAGAAATGACAACATACAATCACACACAACATGTAATGAAGTGTGCACGAATAATTACATATGTGTTCCTGTCAAGATTAGAGATCTTGGTTCTCTCCTTCCCTAATAAAGAACAATTTGCGATCTCTGAAAGTGTAGCATGGGTGAGAATTATCATCTCTAAGTAAGTTTTGGATCACAGTTTGCAGTTTTAGATCATTGTGAATTTCAGTTTTCCCATTCTTTGATTTCATAAAACTAAACAGTAGAGTTGCTGCATTAAGTCATTTTTCTAGATAAGGAGCCAGCGACTCTGTTTTAATGTTCAGGTTTATAGTGATTCAAAATACAACCCCATTAATTTAGAAGTCCACTTGAATTGTTCCTCACCCAAAACTCTTTGATCTGTTAGAAACTTCAGACTTTTATTGATAAAGTTAAGAGTCTCACATCGGACAATATATAGCCTGAACATGTATAAGCTGGTTTTGTAGGGTTGAGTTAGGCTCAACCAGATTTCTTAACATAGTATCAGAGTTTGGTTTAAGATCCGGTGGAGTCCCATATCGAACAATATATAGCCTGAACATGTTCTTATAAGTGGGGACAATTTTCACCCTACAAGCCGGTTTTGTAGGGTTGAGTTAGGTCCAATTATATTTCTCAATAGATGAGTTAAAATGAAGAAATGTCTTCCCATTAAATAATGTTTCCATTTTTGGACGACAACCATAATGACCATCAATTCCCTCTCACAAACTGATTTAGATTGGGCCCTATCAGATAATGTTTGACTGTGAAAAAGCTCTTGGGTTACATTCTTGCAATAAAACAGCTCCCGAGCCTTTATTGGATGCATTTGCTTCTATGGTGAAGACTTTAGAGAAATCTGGAACATGCAGTATGGTTAAGGTCATCACTTTCTTCAACTGTTCAGAAGATGTATGCGCTTCTTGATTCCAATGGAAACCATAATTGAGTCAAGGATCGAGCTATTTTTCCCTAGTCTTTAACAAACTACTATAATAGCCTGTAAGGCCTCCTAGTCTCTATCTGAGTTTAACCGAACATAATTTTTTTTTTTTTATACTTGCAAACAAGGTATGTTCCATCAGTAATGTTAAAACTGCTTGTAAGTGTTGCTGATGTTCTCCG